TGCCCCTGGCTTCCGGCTGAAGCTGTGCAGCGTGGGGCTCCGGCAGGGGAGGACAGCGGGCACACAGGGCATTTCTTCTCCGGGCTCAGGCTCCTCTGCAGTTCTTGGCCGGAAGTCACAGTTCCCGTTTGGTTCTTCTCCACACAATTTTCTCCTTTTTAGTTTCCAGTAACGTATCTCTTCCCTTGTCTACTGGTCATGGCACCCCTGTTCCTTCTGCCCAGGGCACCACACTACCCCTTCGGGTTCCTGCCCCCTACCTGCGTGTCTGCAAACAGCTCCTCCCCGGAAGCCCCCGCGAGCTCTCCCTAATATGATTCCCCCATGTGTGTGCTGACCAGACCCTGACAGTACCACAGGAAACTCTCTCAGTGACAGAAGCAGTATATACAGGACAGAAAATGTAAGGAAAACATCATACGCATCATGAGAAACTGCAGACGCCCACAATGACAGTTATTCTTTCATACGGTTTTTGAGGTTTGGGACAATGCAAAAGAAAAGAAAAAGAAAGCTGTATAAGGATGGGAAGGGAAGATTTAAAATGGTCATTTTCCCCCACTGATAATAAATTAGCTATATTAAAAAAAACAAAACAACAGAAATCCACAGACTCGCTATCTGAAGTAAAAAGACAGTTCCACAGGTTTGCAAGATTCAAGATTACTTATTACAAAATAAGGGGTGTTTATCTAAACCCGTGATAGCCAGCTGTATGGGTTATCTGTTGCTGCCTAACAAAAGACCCCAAAATGCACTGGCTTAAAGTAACATAGTATATGTGTTTTACAATTTCTGTGAGTCAGAAATGCAAGTTTGGCTTCACCGGGTATTATGGGCTGTATGCTTGTGTTCCTCCCAAATTCATGGATCAAAAGCCTATGTCCCAATGTGATGGTATTAGGAGGTGGAGCCTTTGGGGGAAAACTGAGGATCAAAGTCATGAAGATGAAGCCCTCATGAATGGGGTTAGTGCCCTAATAATAGACTCAAGAGAGAGCTGCTTGCTCCTTCTCTGTCCAGCACGTGAGGCTGCGGTGAGCAGCTGACCATGTGTGATCTGGAAGCCGCAGCCCTTTTGTAACTTAATCCCGGAAATGCGATCCCTCACTTCCACTGCGTCTGTTAGTTAGAAGTGACTCAGTAGGTCCGACCCAGACTCGAGGGCAGGGTATTATTAAAGGGCACAAATCCCAGGAGGTGGGTGTGGGGGTCACTGGGGTCATCTCAGAGGCTGCCTTCCAGAGAAACTAAAAATAGCACAGAAAGTAGGACATCTTGTATAACCACAATAGAATTAGAAAGTGTCAAGCAGTTAATCTAAGGAAGAATGCATGAGACCATCCTGGAGACAATTGTTGTTGATTCTCACCTGAGAATGTTTTTCAACTGATTCTTTAGATAAAGTGGAAGGGAGGCAGGGAGAGAGAGACAGAGAAACATCAATATGAGAGAGACACATCGATTGGTTGCCTCTTGCACGACCCTGACTGGGGCCGGGAATCGAACCTACAACCCAGATACGACATGCCCTTGACCCTGAATCAAGCCGGGACTCTTCGGTCTGAGGGCTGGCACTCTAATCACTGAGCCACACCGGCTGGGCTGGAGAAAAATTGTAAAGGTCATGATGTGAAAACGTACAGTTAGGGCACAGACAATGTAAAGATAACACTCTTCCCAAATTTGTGCGATTACACTTAGTAGTGTCCTAGAACATTTGGGGAACATGACAGTATTTTTCCCTAATCCATTCATGGGAGGTTACATATACTCAAGCACTAAGTCGATTCTGAAAAAGGAGAGGGCAGAGGGGACCTTCCCTCAGCCAGCTCTCGAGACCATCTGTAAGGCCACAGTCACACAAACTGTGGCCCCGGCCCCGGAATACAGAAGGAAATCAATGGACGGAAACGAGAGCCCAGAGAAAACTGTCCTACACCTGAAAACTTGATGTGTGATAAATGCACCCCGAGATAAATGTGTGATAAATGTGTCATTCACCGAGGGGAAGAGGCTTGTGTGGAGAACATGGGTCATCCGTGGAGAAAGACAGAGATGGACACATTTCACAAAGGTGTACCCCAGAGACGTGAAATCTGTGACAGCGTGGGAGGAGATATTTACAATGGCTAAACAATGACGCGTGGCGCATGAACAGGTCATAGACACAACCGAGAAAACCCTGAATGTCCAACAAGTTTAGGCCCGGATGTCCAACCTCACAGGAATCAGAGGAAGGAAAACACTAGACGAGACACGGCTGCATGATGCTTGGACGAGGTGAGAAAGCTGAACGGGACCGAGCAGAGAGGAAGATGTGGGAAGAGGGAGCCATCAGTGTCGGTGTCCATAGATTCAGCCACTCAGACGAGCAGCCTGGACGTATTTGGTGAATTAGAAACACAAGCAAATGTTTGTGACTAAACAGATTCCGGCCAGGAGTGTCCTGGGTGCTGTCCTCCCAGTGTCCCTCTCCCTCTGCAGCCAAGCAGGACAGTTCTGAAGGGACTGCATTGCCAGACAGACCATCATGTGTCATCTAAGAAGGTAGATACTTTAAAAAGTCTAACAATTTTGCACGAGGAAAGTTCTTAAAATTGCATTTCCCAGCATCGATCCAATGAGAAAATATAACCATTGTAAACATATACTCCCCCAACATAGGAGCCCCTAAATATATTTTCAAAATTATATTTCCTTCCCTGGCTGGTTTGGCTCAACGGTTGGAGTGTCGGCCTGCAGACCGGCGAGTCCCGGATTCGGTTCCCGCTAAGGGCACGTCCCTTCATTGTAGTTCGTCCCCAGCCCCGGTTGGGATCGTGTGGGTGGCAACAAGTCGATATGTCTCTCTCACATCGATGTTTCTCTCTCTCTCTTCCTCCCTCTCTCCCTCCCGCTCTATCTGAAGATAAATGCAAAAATGTCTTCGGGTGAGGATGAAAAAGAAATAACGTGTTTCCTGATTATTACTTAGTAACATTAAGCTCACCATTGTCCATAACTGGGAACATGGCCTTGAGTGACTTGGGAAGCACATCGACGCTGCCCATCTCCAGGGTCTGGTGGGAACACTGTGCCCACTCTGGTCTCACCCGGTCACTGTCTCCCGAGTGCAGGGTGGGATGTAGGTGACATGTCCGGAGAGCAGGCGGCGAGTGACAGGTGCTGGGGTCTCACTGTGAAGAACCTGGTGTCGCACACGAAAGAATCTGGACAACTCCTGGAATCAAGCCTCCCAGCGGAAGGTGCAGGCAGGGAAGTCAGATGACAAACTCGCTTTAAAAACACCATTTTTTGCAGCATTTTGCAGGGAGACTTGGGCTTGGGGACAGCTGGTGGCGGAGGCCAGTTAGGGTGCCATGGCACTATTTCAGGTAAGGGATTGTAAAATGACAGCAGGAAGAATGGGAGTGGGAGAAGGTGACGTGAGAAGCATGTCTCGGGTCCAGCCGACAGGCTTCGGTGACTAGGACAATGCTGGAGGAGAGGAAGAGAGAGGAGTTGACATTGTCACCAGAACGAGCGACCTCAGGCAAAACAGGCTCTATTGGGCGGGAAGAAAGTGCAGGGACACGGGTTTGCTGTCGGTCTGGTACAGGTGGAGAACCGGAATGACAGTCGCGGAAGTGCCACCGTGTGTCAGAGAAACTAATGACATTTGAAAAGGAGAGCCCTCCAGTAAAATGGAAAATAAGCGTTCGTGGGAGGTTATATGATTTATAGGAAGAGACTGTGACCAGAGCCGAGCACTGGAAAGTTATTCGCATATAAATGGTGTCTGAGGCTAGAGAAAGGGGTTGTCACCTTTTTTTAAATTCTCACCCGAGGATATTTTTCCATTCATCTACAGGGAAAGTGGGGGGAAGGGAGAGAGAGAGAGACATCTATTGGTTGCCTCCTGCACGGACTACGCAACCAGGGTCAGGATCAAACCACAACCGAGACACATGCCCCTGACTGGAATTGAACCCGCGACTCTTTGGTCCTCGGGCTGATGCTGCAGCAGCTGAGCCAAGCCGGCCAGGGCATAGAGTTGCCATCTTTAATTTTAAAAATCTAACAAACAGATAGGACTGTTTGAACTTCACATAAACGACAAATAATTTTTTAGCGTACTCCATGTAATATTTAGGACCTACTTATCCTAAAACTTATTTATTGTTGATCTGAAATTCAGATGTAACTGGGCAGCCTGCATTTCACCATAAGAGTGGCTACGAATAGCAGCCCCTTTGGGACCAGGGGAGACTGGGCCGCGGCGAGAGCGGGGTGCAGGCTGGGCACCCGCCTTTTCCGTGCGGGTAGCTGCTCCCCAATCCCCCTGATTGGGTTTGCAGAGATGGCACTGAAGGTATTCCATATGCTAATGTTCCAAAACAGAAGAGAAAATAAATACGAAACATCCCAATTTTATAAACAACCAGTGAAAAGAGAAAACATTTCGAGGTGCAAACCAAGCAGGTCTGTGGGTTCCATAAGGTGCAGGCGCCCCTGGTTTGCAACCTCTGATCTAATCTTGAGAGTGGGCAGGGCAGGTGTCTAAGCTGTAAGCGATGGGGCTTTGCAAGGTGGGGTACAAGGGCTTTGTGTGGGGAGGGGATACAGCAAGGGGATGACTCGGGCAAAGGCTAACACGGGGAAGCAATGCCCCCGGGGCCTGAACGTACTGCTGGTCACTGTCCCGGGCTGGGCGGTGGCTGGAGCGCAGGGCTACACCTGGTACTACCTGTCTCTCGGCAGAGAGCCCCCCCCCCCCCGGCCGCGCAGGGAGCGCGAGCACCCATTGGGCCGGAGGCTTTTCATCAGAAAACTGTGGGTGGCAACTTCCCGGGGTTTGCACTGAGCTTCTCGAGGCTTCTCAGCTTCAGAGGCAGAGTGCGTGGGCGTCTCTCTGAGAAGCAGAAAGAGAGAACGAAAGCGAGGTGTTTCCCTTGACCATGGAAACTCTATAAAGAAGGAGCCGCTTCCCACCTGTCGCGCAGTCGGCAGCAGATGCCGCTTCGTGACGCCCCGACTCCGCGGGACTGAGCAGGAGGGACGCCCTTTGCGGGGCTGCCCAAGTCCGCGGCTGCCATGCAGCAGCCCCTGAACTACCCGTACCCCCAGATCTACTGGGTGGACAGCAGGGCCCCTTCCCCCTGGGCCCCTCCAGGGACAGTCCTCCCCTGTCCCTCCTCGGTGCCTGGGAGGCCTGGTCAGAGGAGGCCACCACCGCCACCGCCACCACCCACACCACCCCTGCCACTGCCCCCGCTGAAGAACAGGAGGGACCGCACCGGCCTGTGTCTCCTTGTGCTGTTTTTCATGGTTCTGGTGGCCCTGGTGGCCCTGGGGCTGGGGATGTTCCAGCTACTCCACCTGCAGAAGGAGCTGGCCGAGCTCAGAGAGGTAAGCAAGCTGCCCCGGGGAGACCCCTGCGGGGGGGTGGGGGGCTGCAGGGGGGGCCCGCGGGGGGGGCTCCCCAGTCCACGTGCACCCCGGCGTCTCAGCCAAGGGCTTTAGAACAGGACTGGCCGCCACCTGCTTCCTTCTGAGTTGGCAGCTCAGCCCGGGGACCATGTCTGTAGGGTCCGGGAAGAAAAGGAGCTTCGTGTTCCACTGAGAAGGGAATCTGTGCAAATGGCCAAACTAAAACATTTTTAAAAGACGTAAAAGTCTGGGAAGTATTGTCATCACAAGGCCGGGCACCGTGAGACGCAGCTGCTCGGCCCAGGTCCCAGGCAGGAGAGGCGGGGGCGGGGGGACTTAGATTCTTCTCTGGGCCCAGTGTGTTGGACGAGTCTGCCTCCTTTGCTTAGAGGACTTTGTGTGCATTCCTCGCCTGTTCTCTCTCTTTGCCAGTCCTCCAGCCAGAGGCTTAGAGGATCATCGTTGGAGAAGCAAGTAGGTGAGTCCCTGTTGCACATGCACATTGAGTCCAAGGCTGGTCCTCAGAGCTGGACCCACGGGCGGTGCGGTGAGCTCCACCCACTGGCCGGGAGTCCTGGCTGATTCGGAATCTCCCGTCCTCTGGGCCCCTTCCGCTGCCCTCAGCTAGGAAGGGAATTTAGTGGTTCAAATCAGTGTATCTGAGGACCGCGTACAGGTCGAAAGAATTTCCACTGGCTTTGGGAAGGGACACACGCCTCTACAGCCCTGGACCTTTGCCCCCTGAGCAGCTGGCTCCAGGCCAGGGTCCTTCCTCGGGCCTCCGGCGTCCATGCACAGGGTGGTGGCCGTAACGCCTTGGATGAGTGCGAGGTGGGGGCAGGGAGAGGTTTCTAGGAAAGATTGTCTCCTCTTTCAATTTTCTAAGAGCTTACTCAAGAGTCAAGCTTTAGTTAAAACATTTTACAGGATATGTTTAAGCTTTTAAAAAGCGTGAAATCAATCATCCACGTTAGGATGTGGTGGTTTTGTAGTCTCTCGAAAGCTTGGGGAAGACGTCAGCCATTATTCAAAGGTGGCCCCGCGTCCCCCGCAGAGGTGGTTGTGAGCTACCGTCAATAAGGAAGGGACGCCCTTCGAATGAGAGCCGGGACAGGCAGAAGATGACAGTGTGAGCCTTGACCTCATGGCATTTCGGGACATAGTTTTGGAAACCGTGGACAGATAGATTTAGGATGCTCCCGCTCATCAAACTAGGCTCCGCTGAACCTTAGGCTTGGAAGGGAGTGTCGACAGTATCTGGTTCAGTCATCTCGTTTTCTCCAAAGAGGGACAAAATACCAGGCAGATTAGGTGACGTGCCCAAAACTATTGGTGCGGAACCACAGGGCTTTCCAGTGTGTGACCTGATGGCTCGTGAAATAAGACAGCTGCCATCTCTCTGTGATGCATTTATTTATGGACTGAAACATGGACTCAAGCAGGCTGCCTCTGTGAGGATAGGAAGTACTTCTTACTAGACACTGGGGACAGAGGCAGACTGGCCAGTAGGGGGCCTGTTTCTGAGGAGGTACCCACTCTACTGATCCAAGGCACCCGACTGCCCTAGAAGGTGGGAGCCACCGTCAGGATGCTCTGATCCCCAGGTCTGGGTCCAAGTCCCCAAGTGTACGAAGCTCCAGATGTACACAGCAGAGTAGAAATATTTGCTGGAAAGACAGAGCCTCTGGAAGATTTCTGGACTAAAAATAGATTTGAAAATTAGTGCCATGTGGCTGGTGAAACAGGTACCAGTTACTCACCTTTCACCCACTCTGATCTGAGTGACTAAAATCAGGGCCACCAACTCCCACAAACCATCATCTTCTCTAGATCAACCCAGATGGACCCGAAACTGGTGAATTATCACATGGAAATCAAATAGCAACTTTACTAATAAGATGAGAGATGCAGATGAAAACAAAGGTTACCCATTTTCATCCACCAAGTTAGTAAAGGTTAGAACAAACCACACAGATTGGCAAAGCTGAGAGCAGATAGCCACTTACCCACGAGCCGAGAATGACAACAGCTGCAGCTTCTCTGCGGCACTGGGAAACACACAGCAAATGATTCAAACTGTTCGTTTACCTGTAATTTTATCAGAAAGAATGTATCTTTAGAAAATAATTAGAGATGTGCCTAAACATCTATCCATAAGGATGTTCCTCACTTCCTTATAACGCTATTTATAATGAACAATTTGGAAGAAACTTAAATCCCTCTTAATAGGAGCTTAGTTAAAGACACCATGGTGGCCCTGGCCAGTTTGGCTCAGCGGTTAGAGCGTCGGCCTGCGGTCCGGAGAGACCCGGGTTCAGTTCCCGCTAAGGGCACGTACTTCGGTTGCAGTTTGTCCCCGGCCCTGGTTGGTCGTGCGGGTGGCAGCCACTCGATGTGTCCCTTCACGTCGATGTTTCTCACTCTCTCTCTCTCTCTCCCTCCCCCTCTATCTGTACAAAAAATGGAAAAATATCCTCGGCTGAGGATAAAAAAAAAAAGACAAAAAAAAGACACCATGGTGAATGGCAATGGAGCATAATAAACGGCAACTGAAAACTATATATTAGAGGGGGGTCGATAGGGAAAGTAGGGGGGACATCTGTAATGCTCTCAACAATAAAGATAAAAAACGAAAACAGAAATATATATGTATTAGAAAGACAATGTCATGGAGATTGTGCATTCTGTAGTGTTAGGTGAAAAGACAAATTAGTTTAATATCGACTATATACATATATGCATATTTTTATATCTTTGTTCTCAGCGGAGAACGAGAAGAATTTATATTTTAATGTGGTGACAGCGAGGTTCTCTGGCAGGTACTGGCTAAACTTTCTTATGTACTTCTTTTTCATTTTTCATTATATTTCATCATATATTTCATCATATTTTTCATATATTTCCCCAGTTAACTCATGCCATCTTTTATTCATTCACAAATGTTCGTGGGGGGCTTCCGATGTGCCAGGCTGGGTGTTGGGTTAGGGGCGACCACCGAGAACAAGAGGGACGAAGCGCCCGCCCTCACTGGGCGGGAAGCAGGCCGGAGGAGCTAGACAAAGCAGGCAGACAGACCACATCATCTCAAACTGCACCCGGGGTACCTGAAGGAGGGTGGTCTGGAAAGTCCCTTAAAGGAGGTGTTGTGAGTGTGTATGCCTGTGTGTGTGCGTGTGTGCAGTGGGGTGGGAAGGTAGGAGAAAGCATTTCAGCACAGAATGGCATGTGCAAAGATCCTGGGGCAGCAAACAGTCATCCCCAAACGGCAGGATACATGTCTAGTTTGTTTACTCCGGTTCGTATCCAGCAGCAAGCTTGCTGAGTGTCTCTGTGAGAAGCACACCACACAGGGCTCTCGCAGGGATACGGAGATGTGCACCATTTCCTGTCAGCACATGGCCAGACGCCAGATCCGCGGCGCGGATGCTTGTGGTGTGGGGACGTGGCCGAGACTCAGCTTCGCCTTCCTGCTCCCTGGTGCCTCATCTGTGGTGGGCAACCTTGGGTGGCTGCAGAGGCAGTGCGAGCTCCGGGAATGTCCTCGGTCGGGGGGGGGGGGGGCATTTCCACGCTCCTGTCTAAGGCTCTTTCTCGAGTGTCTTAGCTCAGTGCCTTCGCTAAGCGGTGGCTCTCTTCGGTTAAATACTTCAAGTCAGAGAAGGGTCTGTTTTGAGAACCATCGTCTATTTAGCTCCTCAGTTGAATTGAGCAAACGTTTGCTGGCCACATGCGCTGTGTTAGAAACGGAGCTAAATGCTCTGTGCTGGGGAGCTGACCGTGTGTTTGAGAGAGCTGGGAAACTTGTCACCCTGACAAGAGGGGTGAAGACGGGGATTCTGGGTTTCCCAGGAGGGGAGAATCCTATTTGATGAAAAAGGCTTGGGAGGGTGTCCCAAAGAAAGAGGCATTTCCGATGGCATTTATAGGGCTCATCGGGATGTGACCCAGAGAGCTGCTGGGAAGGGCATTCCGGGCAGAAGGAACAGTATGAGCAAAGTCGCGGAGGCGGGGTGTTCGGGTCCCTCCCTGAGGGAGACGCAGGGGCTGTGAGCTCCACGGCTTGGATTTGCACCATCCATATATGTCACACTGTTGCCATTTAGGCTTAAGAAAAAATCTCTCATCTCCAAATGCCCTGTTTAGAGTTCCGCCTACTTACGTGGCTCCTCTCTCTCCGCTGCAGGTCGCCCGGGTCCGCCCTCTGGGCAGAGGGAGCAGAGGAAAGCGGCACATCTGACAGGTCTGTATGTGGGAGGCGCAGGAGGCAGGGACTCGGTGTCCACCGCTCACTCTGAGGGAGCTGGCACCTGGGGAGCTGGTACCCGGGGTGGGGGGCAGCCTGGCACTGGGGACTTCCAGCACGTGGTCGTGCTGTGGAGAGAAATGACTGACGGCCGCGTGGTAGGGGCCTCCTCGCGGGAAGAGGGTGAGTGTCACGGACAGTAGGGTGCCACTCTCCCTGGGACCGGTTAGGCAGAGGCTGCGGAAGGATGCAGTTTGGATGGACAGGCATTTATAGAGCACGCGTGTGTGTGTGTGTGTGTGTGTGTGTGTGTGTGTGCAGCCTTGGGGGCTTGGAGATAAACAGACCTGGTTCTTGCCTTCAAGGAGCTTCAGATCCCCAGGGAAAGAGGTACTCAGGCCACCGGTTCCGGGTTGGAGCGTGCTCTCTGCTTCAGGTGTGGGCACACACAGGAAAGGGGTTTGAGCCCAAAGGGGGACCGCAGGGGAGGAGTTGGAGCAGGGGATCCCTGAGGTCCCTGGAACTGTGGAGTTCCTCGCACTTGGCTTTCCCCTCGCGGAGAGCCTGACGGTTTGGGTGCTCGTTTTGAAGACCGCAGGACCTTTGTCCCCGAGAACCAAACCCAGCCCTCGGAGTTCTCACTGCCGTTGACGGGGGTGCATATGGCTGTCCCACTGTGCGCCCGGTGGCGTGGATGGTCACATCGAGGCAGGGCATTTGATAAAGGCGTTGAAGGAATTTGGTGATGGACAAGCCTGACTCCTCGGCCGGTTCTATGGGGGCTCTGTCACTTTGGGAAAAACTGTTGCTCAAGGGGGGAGAGCCCACAGTTTTGCCTTGGAAGCTTGGTGTCTTGGGTGCACGAGTGTTCCTCGCTAAAACTCCTTTCTGACTTGGTTTCAGGCAAGCCCAGCTCCAGATCCATCCCTCTGGAATGGGAAGACACCTACGGAATTGCCCTGGTCTCCGGGGTGAAGTATAAGAAGGGCAGCCTTGTGGTCAATGACACCGGGCTGTACTTCGTGTATTCCAAAGTGTACTTCCGGGGTCAGTCCTGCAAGAACCAGCCGCTGAACCACAAGGTGTACATGCGGAGCTCCGAGTACCTCCGGGACCTGGTCCTGATGGAGGACAAGATGATGGACTACTGCACGGCTGGCCAGATGTGGGCCCGCAGCAGCTACCTGGGCGCCGTGTTCAACCTCACGGCTGCTGACCGCTTGCATGTTAACGTGTCTGAGCTCTCGCTGGTCAATTTTGAGGAATCGAAGACATTTTTTGGCTTATATAAGCTCTGAGAAAAGCACTTTGGGAATCTCTCCATTATGGTTCCTTGTTATGGGCACTGAGAATGTTATCTTGAAGGAGGTCTTCCTAAGCCCACTTGAGGTCGAGTGAGAAGACGGAAACCCAGAGGATCCTGAGACCACAAGGTCCAGCAGATCTCCGGTTGCTCGTCTCACCCAAGGTCCCTGAGCCAGATGGGAGGAGGGAGATCACGGATGAACAGAACACTCTGGGCTGCCCGGCAGGATGCAGGGCTGGGAACAGCAGCTCCAGGGGCGTCTACACTCAGCGTCAGAGGCCAAGAGTGTTTGGGCACATTGCAAAGGACACCTTTTAACTCACCTCTTGGGGGTGGGTCTGCTGTCTACCTCAGGGGAGGGCTGTCCTTTGGGTACATGGTGTGACATGAGTGTGCAAGGGATGGAAAAAGAGGACTAGGTTGTGTGATAAGCTCAGGAGACTGAGAGCCTGTATCCCAGTGACAGATCTTCACTTCCGGAGCCTTAGCCTGAGTGCCAGGCGATGGGGACAGAGACGTGAGGGAGATCTGTGGGGGACTCAGTCCATTCCGGATACAGCATGTATATTTCCAGAGCAATGGCAGGTGCGCGTGTGTGTGTGTGTGTGTGTGTGTGAGAGAGAGAGAGAGAGAGAGAGACTAGAAGAGTCTCCTCGGCAGAGAGAATGTGGCTATTGGGAAGGGTGTGCTAGGAAAATATGGTGCATTTGGTGTGGATGTTGAATGCTTCTTGGCAACCAACTCTAACAGTCCTTTCATCTTTGATTATCAGCTGGTGATGCTGTTTTCCTACAAACCTATATTTATATACATTTTGTACATTTTTCATGAAAAGAGTACGTGCAATAAAAACTATATTTTAGAATACAGATAAACATTATGGATGTCCTTTTTGGAAGTCACAAAGGTTTTGTTTTTCTTAGTATTTCTTTCTCCATGGCTTCCTCATTCATTAGGACTTATGGCCACTTTAAGGAGAATTGACTGGGGTGAGGACTTTGCCAGGCTCCCGGCCCTTCGCTGGATTCTCTCCCTTCTCCGTCTCCCGTGATCCAGTTTCCGCCGCCAATAGTATTGCCAGTGTTAAACTCACCCCACTTTCCATGGATTTGATGACAACTTGTCTTTCCTGGGGGCAGAGTCATAGCATAGTGGGAAGGGCACAGACTTTGGACTAAAAAAATCCTGAATTTGAATCTTCGTTCCTCCACTTACTAACTATGCGGTCACTGCGCAGGTGGCTTGCCCTCTCTTGGACAGAAAAGGGCTCATTTGTACCTAAAGTATCTGACACACAGCACAATGTCAAACAATGGCATGCACCATATTTATAAGCTACTCTAGGAGAGGTCATTTGTTCTCCAGAAGAAGTCTGAAGGATCCATCTAGATACCTGGGTTCTTACTGTCTCACCTTGATCACCCACAATGGCCTTTCCCCGTGGTCTTCAGCCACGGCCTCCCCTGGCCTGTGTCCTTGGCAGACATCACCGTACCCATTGGATTTCACAACACCAGCCATCATTCCAGCTTCCGCGCCCCCACATTGTATCTCCTACTGTGTATCTCCTGGCATTAACCAGGAGCTAGTCGGAGGCTGGTGATGAGAACTGCCAAGTAGCTAGAGCTGAGACTGTCATTTAGAAGATGCTCAGTACATATTTGTTGAATAAAACAGCCAAAGCGAAAAGTTCAGGTTGGGGTGTCACCTGCTCTACTTAGAACTCTTGGGTCGATTCATCTGCTGTCTGAGGTCAGGTACCTCGTGGGGAAAGCCAGAGAGGCATTCACCCCTCTGCGCTGCTGGGCTGTCTGCCCGCCTCATGGTGAAATCCTCCTCATCTTTTGGCTCCAACCATCGAGAAATTTGCCGGACCATTTTGGGGGGTCTGTGGACTCTTCCAGATACTGGTACCAGAGCAAAGAGGAAATAGTGCCACGTCCTGAGATGACCCGATGGTATGTGCCATCGCTGGGATTGCTGGTATTGTCAGTCTCACCCGCAAAGTCTGAGCTCTGCTCACCTGCCTGGGCCATCTCCTGAAGACAGGGGGCAGCTCACCATGCTTCACTGTCCGGCTCTAGGGAAGGGGTGCTAACCGCTCCTGTAGGAGCCTGAGTTGTTGTTCTTTACCTCAGTGGAAACATACGGGATGTCAAAACCCCAAAACTTTTGAATGTGTTCTCTAAAAGGGAATCTGCCATTGTTCCCTTATGAAGTGCTAAACCCAAAGTAGAACACACACACACACACACACACACACACACACACACACACACAGGTTACTTCTAGTTCAGTAGTTTGAGGTTTTCTTTCTTTTCAGACACAAAACCATGTGTTTTCTTTAAGCCCCCTTAGGGTGGTGACTTTGTCTTCTCTGAACTAGTTTTGACTTACCGCAGCTAAACAGGAAAAGAGCCTCCGGGGCACCGTCACTGCGAGAGGGACTGGGGTAGACCACGGCCAGACAGGACTACAGGGAGACACTAGCTCCTCCAAGCCAGGCTACCGTCTAGCCCGATGCTGTCCACCTGACACTCATGAAATAGTATCGAATGCCAACTGTAATTAAAAGTAAAATAAAATATATATGTATATGTTTCTTCTTAAAAAAAAAAAAGATTTCCTTAGGGGGTCACGCCTGGTCCGTAACTAAGAAAGCGTGTCACCACATGTTAAACTGCATTTTTCAGAGGAGTTTGCTTAAGTTCTGATGGTGTAGAGATCGAGTTTTATTTTCTGTTTCTTGTTTTTGTTTTCCTTCTTTGCCAGGGTTGTGGATCATCCGGAGGCAGAATGAGGCGATCCCAGGGAAGCAGAATGAAAACTCCATTCCTTACATCTCCAGCCTCAGAAATGAACCTGATTCAGAAATAATGTAACGTGGATGGTAGCCAGGGACCCGTGCGATTCATCTAGAAAGCAACCAGGCTTGGAAACGCAGACAGTAAGTGGGTATTCTCCCAGTTCACCGGAAGGTAGGAAACTCTCACGCTTGGCAAAGCTTCCCCCTTACTGGGAGACATTCTCCACCATTCTACCTCGTACATTTTTTCAGAGAAAAGCAGAATTCAGAAGTCCCTCCGCTCCCACCTGACGGCTCCATCTGCTCTACGGGGTCACCTTTTCTTCATCACCTTTTCTTCTACTGCTCAACAGAATGACGTGGACCTCAACCTCCCGTTCTGTGGGAAGTCCGGTGTCCTCCAAGTTTTCTGGGAATGACCGGGAAGAACCTCGTTCTTTGGGAAGGCCACATTCTAGCGTCTGGCTCACCCCTGGGTCTGGTAGTGACTGTTCAGGCTCCTGTCACCCCCAGTGTGCGACACCTGTACCCCGCAGGGCGCCACTCCCACAGATGCGAGGTGTAGACAAATTCTACTGAAGGTTTGAAGGTAATGGAGACATTATCTTAGACACACAGTGTAAGTTACACCTAAAGCTGAGTATTGGATACTACTGCCATCCCCCAAACTTGCCACAGTTACCAACTTCAACGTGTCACTTCAAATCCTAGTACTTGAAAGGAAGCAAAAGCCCATTCATTCATTCATTCATTCACTCATTCACTCATTCACTCAACAGGTGTTTGCCAGGTACCAGAAACTGCTCTAGGTACTGTGGATACATTAAAATATAAAGTCCCCTATGGAGTTATATTTTAGTGGAGAGATGGTGAATAGACAATAAAGAAGGAGCAGAAAATAGCTAATAAGTGATATGGTAGGAAGTGCCGTGAAGGACCATTAAACCAGAATAGGCTGTAGAGAGTGATGGTGGAGGGGTGATTTTTTTTTTTAAAGCAGAACGGGGAGATTTTTTTTTAAATGTGTTTTTATTGTTTTTTGTTTGTTTGTTTTGTTTTGTTTTAGAGAGGAATGCAGAGGGAGAGAGAGAGAAACACTGGTGTGAGGTAACCCCCAGCCTGGACATGTGCCCTGCACAGGATGGTGCTCAGCCAGCTGAGCCACACGGGCCCGGGCGAGGGGTGGTGATTAGACACGTGGTGAAGGGGCACCTGTTCAAGCACAGCAGGTAGAAAAGTGACAAGTCTAAGTCATAAGAACAACAGGTCAATCTTATTCTGAGGTACTAAAAAAATAAAAGAATAACATTACATTTTTGCAGCCTTTAAAATATTTTCTCCCATGCCTCTTTTATTGTTTTTTATTTTTTTATTTTTTATTTTTTTAATCCTCACCCAAGGACATTTTTCCATTTTTTGTACAGATAGAGTGGGAGGGAGAGAGAGGAAGAAAGAGAGAGAGAGAAACATCGATGTGAAAGGGACACATCGAGTGGCTGCCACCCGCATGACCAACCAGGGCCGGGGACAAACTGCAACCAAAGTACGTGCCCTTCGCGGGAACCGAACCCGGGTCTCTCCGGACCGCAGGCTGACGCTCTAACCGCTGAGCCAAACTGGCCAGGGCTATTTTATTGTTTTTTAAAACTGATGAAGTGACATACATGAAAGACGTTGGCACGTGCCAGATTCTCTACAAATGTCAGCTGAATATATTGAATACATTCTGTGCTCATTATGTCACAGCCTGGTGTGATGGGACTTTGAGACTACCCCCCCCCCTTTTAATCCTGAAGTATAATTAAATAGGGTGATGTTCAAATACTCCATAGAGCTAAAACCCTCCGCTGACCCAGGGCTGTCTCAGGACAGCCTCGTTTTACATGATCGGAGCTCAGGGGGAGCCCCCCTCCCCGAGCTGCTCGTCGCAGAAGGGACAGAACCCGGTTCTCATGTCGCAGCCCCGACTCTGCGGGGGAACCACTTCAAAACAGTGCGCGCTGCTAAGAGACACCCTCGATGGCATCACGCTCTGAAAGTGTCCACACATGTAAGACACCACCTGCCACACAAGAACCTTTGCCAAGGAGCCTGGACAGAGTCGGAGGGGCACCCACGGGTGTCTCCAGGATTCCTCAGGGCAAAGCTCTTTTAGTGTCACTCCAGCCCCACACCACTTCCCGTCTATGGAAGGGAGCTTGGTACATGTTCTCTGGAAGAGAAGGTTCTAGAGGTTGTTCCTGGCTGGAAGAGAAGGTAGGTGCAGTATTCAGAAAGCGACAGAGGTCTCTGGCCTTAACTAAGTGAACCGAGATTCTAGGCCTTCGCGGCGGATGAAAGGCTGTGGATGAAAGAACGCGGGGTTCTGCTGACATGAAACGCGTCTTCGTGGCCCCACGCTGAGCAGAGAGCACAGCCTTGACTCAGAGGGTGGGAAAGAGGCGCAAAGGTGTTAAACAGACTCTGAAGTCTGAGCTCCGAGAGAAGGCATCGCAAACCTCAGCATCCTCTTTGCATCACTCGGTGGGTTGTGTTCTGGCTTCTAAGAAATTCTGAAGGCCTCTGCAGGGATCTGGGAGGGCGGCAGAGAGAGGAACACCGGCTGGGGG